GTACCTCTCTTATTGCACTAAAGAGGGGGAATCGGTTATAAGACCGATGCAGGCGCAATCGATGCTGGCCAGTACCAAGATGGGTGACCGCTTGGGAATACCAGGTGTTCTAAGCTTGGATCTACGGGTGGTTTAATGGATAATGTGTCGAAATTGTTAATCGGTGAGACATGTTCGAATTCCTGTTGGGTTCGTGATCGTCACTTACACGTAGATACCCTTGGGAAAGGTATGAATCCGACTTTCCTCTTCCTTAATTAGTAAGATTTTTATCACTAAATTATCTAAAAAAATCTTACAATCTAAAAATATTTTCTGACTTTAAATAACCTGCAATGGGTTGATAAGCCATAAAAAAAACGAATCAATCAATAAAAGTGTACATTCCAATTGTGCTCTATAGGACAGCTAGGTCATTCTTTGCTTTCCTTGGCAAATAGGTTTTTTCCCGGGCTGAAGTTGTTAGCCCCATGTCCAATCAGTTCTGAATTCAGAGTTGCCCTTCTCTAAAACTAGTTGCCAACCAAGGCTGAAGAGCGCAGTCTACCCTACTATTTAACTCCTATCTGGGGAGAAGAGATTAATTCATACCCTCCCCAAGGGTATTTGCGTGAATATAAAAGAATTCGACTGGAATTCGAACTCGGCTTCCTGAGTTCTTTCGAGCCGCTAAGCATTGCACCACCGGCGCATCCTTTTTTTTCTCATCCTTTTCCTTCTCCTCATTTTTATTATTATAAGTTTATTTACAAAGCAACCTGTGTGTATTTAGTTTTAACAAAGAAAAGTTAAAAAAAATGACAAGAGAAATGGACAGTGTCAAATTTGAGAGAAACAACCACCATTTATAAATGTCACTTTAACTTGATCGAATATCGACACTATTACTGCCCGAGCCCAGCTTTCTTCTTTGAGGAAAGACATTTTTTTGCCTCAGGTTAAAATCAGGTCGACTGACAAATCACAATAATCTGCGTCAATTAGAAAAGTTATGTTCATTGATTAAAGTTTCGTATAAGTTCAGTCATTCTCTTTCATATTACGCCGAGGATCAGATTAATTTTAAATTGTTTTTTAAAATAACGTAACACGAAATAAGTGAGAAAATATATGAAAAATTTTCCTCTTGCTAAGGTGTGTCCTCCCAAATCTTTTCACCGTTTTAATTTTTTTATGCCCCACTCTCTCTCCCCCCAAAGTATGTTTTATCAAGTCTTGACGTCCTTTATCTTATTTTATTTACAATAGCGTCATTCAGAATATGAAGTTCGGTTTCTTTTTTAACAAAGAAAACATTTACCCAATATAACTTCTTAAAATCTTTTATATTATTTCTTAAAAACACATAGGACGACAGCGCATTAGAGAGAGAAATACAAATGCAGAAGCATGTACACTTATGTTCCATACATTACGCAAAAACATTTGACGAGGCACGGCCCAAGTGTCTGTTTGAACTGCCAGGAAAGCTCGACCCACTTGGAATGGATGTCAGAATAATCCAGAATGTATATTGAGAGTAAACAGCCTGCATAAGGACAGAACATAAATTGAGTAGCTATACAAAAATAGAAGATAGAAAGAGGCGATGGGATCTTATCAGAAATGCTCTCAACCTTAGACGACTTCAGCATCAACATTAACAGAAGTAATAAACGAAATATACAACAGTGGCGAGATACCGGAAGATTTCACTAAATCTATCTTCATAGCGTTACTTAAGAGACCAGGTTTAAACGAATGCAATCAGGTTAATGAGCCACATAATCAACCTAATGATACAAATCCTGATAAAAAGAGCGCGAAGTAGAATTAGACAGGAAATAGGAAAAGGATAGTGCGGCTTCATCAAGGACACCGGAATAAGAAATGCGATATTCATGATCAGAATAATGACAGAGCGAGCAATACAAATGCAAAAACATGTGCACTTATGTTTTATAGATTACGCAAAGGCATTTGACAAGGTATGTCACAAGGATTTATTTGAACTGTTAGGAAAGCTCGATCTACTTGGAAAGAATATTAGAATAACCCAGAATCTATACTGGGAGCAAACCGCTTGCATACGGATAGAAAAGGAATAGGATAGGTAGGCAAAAATAAAAAGGGGTGTAAGGCAAGGATGTGTCTTCTCACCGGACTTATTCCTCTACACCGAAATTATCTTCAGAGAGCTGAAGACTCAACAGGATATTTTATCGCAATCTTAACAATATAAGATACGCAAATGACACTGTGTTGTTGACAGACACAGAAAATAAAGTGCAGGAATCCTGTGCAGAGTAGTAAGGAAAGCGAGAACAAAGGACTAAACATCAATTATAAAAAGACAGAAAATACGGCTGTCAGATAGTGAAAAATTCAAACTACGAAATGGATGCTATTTACATTATTTGGACTACTGTCCTCATCTTTATCGCCATATTTATTACAACGTTTCGACCGATATTCTAACCACCTGAATAAGATCGGAGCGTACATCGGCCGAAACGTTGTAATAAATATGGAGACAAAGATGAGGACAATAGTCAGAATGATGTAAATAGTGTATATCATACCTCATCTCAGAAATATAGACAGATACGAAATGGATGAGTCTAGATCAAACAAGTACAGAAGTCTTAATATATAAAAAATGTTTTAACTGAGGATGGAAAATGTGACACCGAAATCCGAAGAAGCATTGAAAAGCAAAACAAAATCTCTTGTCAGTCATCTTCAACGAAACCTGTATAAAAGAGGTATTGCTGCTCAAATGCATAATTATACACACACATATATATATATATATGCTGTTTTCGTATAATTTAAGCATCTTTTAAACATGTCCTCCTAGACTGTCTGCAATGCAAGGTTCGGTAGCTCAGTCTATTTAGCTATTTAACCCATAACTGGAGGAGGTTAAATGGATTCATGCCTTCTCGAACTAAGACGAAACTTGAACCTGACTAGCCGACTTCATATACCTCGCTAATAACCTTTACGCTCCCAGCACGGCACTGGTTTAAATGTCATTTTTTCATAAATCCGTCTTTGACTATAACTTAGTACACCTAGATTGGCCTGTCACCGTGATTTCTAAAATGCTTGTTTAATACATCTCTCCCTGGGGAGAAAAAACTTTTTCTCGAACTGTTTTTCCAAAGCTCAGTATAAGTCTGCAAACAAAAAAAAACGCAGATGACTTTGTTTCGATTCAAAGCTATCCATCAACTTGACAGAATCTCTGAAAATTGGTCTCTTGGTTTATAATATTAAAGCGTAATAGCTATTGTTCAGTTAAGACTCGTTTCAAACCCCAGTGAAATCAGCTGATCCTAGGTAGACATTGATTTGTCCTATTTTCCATTTGAAGAACTTTTTCAGTTTGGATTTTGTCATATTTTTAGTGTTGATAAGTGAGATGGCTGACTAGACCTTTCTTTACAAGTAGCAAATTTTTCGACCTCGGCCTGGTGTGTCATCGATGGACGCATCCCTTGGTAACCTGCGTGACGCACGATGCGGTTTTGAGTTATATTTTTAGGCATTCTCATTATATCAAAAAGGTTGCTTTTAAATCAGAATTCCCTTATCCTCGATAGAAGAGTATTAAGATAGCTATTGAACTTTATCTATGCATTTGGTTTTATATCAGAGTTTGCTTTCACCTAGGTGAGGTACTTTCACTACGGCTGAGAGTGTTCACCTTCAACACATATAAAGACACATATAATGTTTTGGGGATTGATAATAGAGTGGTCTCCCATTACTTTCTCCACGGTGATTTTATTGAGACACAACCTCTAGTTAGCTGGCCGTTGGCTCGTCAAGAGTTCCTCCGCCCTTTAATAGATCTGATTTTGAATCCGACAGAGTTGCTAACAACCTGCTTCACTCGTAATAAATTGAAGTAGGAGTGCCAGTTTAGTCGCCGCCTATCTAAAAGCAGATTTCATGTTTTAATTTAGTTAAAGTTAAGTCCATTTACAGTGTAACCCGGATATAAGAGAGTTGTCGGGACCGGAGAAGAAGTCTCTTATATCCGAGTTTGGTGTAATTTATATACATTAACACAGGCTTTTATTTGGAACCAGAGAAAATCTCTCTTATATCCAGGTCTCTCTTATATCCGAGTCTATTATATCCGGGTTACACTGTATTCATTTTAATTATTCTCCCATTTATTCGCCGTTTTGGGACCAGGAGTAGGTGGTAGGCTGAGTTCCTATCCTATGGGACCTGCTTGATTTTTTTTTTTTTTTTTTTTTGAGTGGGAAAGGGCAAAAGTAGCTGAAGAAAAATTAGTCAAGTCCCTGAAGAGTAAAATTTACAAATTTATATTAAAATACCTCCGAGTAGAAAATATGAATACAATCAGAAATGTATACAAATCAAACTAGTGTCAAATACTTAGTCTTAGTATTTGGAGTTAACAGTATATTCTGAGACTATAGTCCCAGAAAAACAATTATTATCAGTATGCCGAGCGTGTGTCCTGCCAGGACATATACAGTTTGGAAATGTCCATTTTTATCTTTTGTTCTTCTCCCATTTACTCGCCCATGGGGACTGGACATAGGTGGTATTTTGAGTTCCTATCCTACCCTATCCGAGCTGGTCGACTTTTTTTTTGGGGGGGGGGAATTAACAGAAGAAAAATTAAATCTTTAAAGTGTAAAATTTACAAATTTAAATGCAAAACCTCCGAGTGGACTAGCGCTACAAAACCTCAAAGAACTGTGAAAAATAACAGAAACCACATCACTTGAGGATTACCAACAGCAGTAACAACTAAAATTTTATTCGAATGTTTTTTTTTATTTGTAATTATTTACTAACCTTATTCTATGTACTGTGACTCTTCAGAACATGTGCGTTCATGACTCTCCACAACCTCCTATACTTAGTAGCTCTTAGCAATGTCTTTACTATCCATCCCACCTCCTCTTCTGCAATCCATTTACACAAACTCGTCAGGTTTCTTACTGGAAGTTACACTGTGTCTCTCTTGCTTTGCGTTGAAACACCGGTTCTCGTACGATCACCAAAGTTAAGCAACGTTGAGCTAGGTCAGTACTTAGATGGGCGACCGCTTGAGAACACCAGATGCTGTAAGCTTGGATGTGCGGTTGGTGTAATGGATAACGGCTCGAAATTGAAAATCAGAGAGCCGAGTTCTAATTCTTGTCGGGTTCGTTATATTCAGTTGGAAAGCGTATAAATCCACTTTTTCTCTCATCACTTATAGGGGGGGGTAATTAGTATGACTTCTATCACTTAATTATTATTTTCTAAAAAAATCCTTGCAATCTAAATATATTTTCTGGCTTTAAATAACATGCAAAAGGTTAATAAGTCGTAAAAAACAAATTAGTCAATCAAAACTCCATTTGTTTTCAGTATGTCCCGTGAGTGTCAAATTTTCTAAGCAGTGACTACATAAAATGTGCAAAGTGAACGGAAATTATTTAAATTAAAGTTCAGTGAATTGTAAATAGAAAAAGAAATCTGAAAGTGGTACAACCTGCTCGACTAATAGTAAATGCTGACAAATGAAAGTATGAGTGTTTCTTCAAGTAGTATGTCGTTTAATAAGCTGCCTAATGAACAGCCAATCAGAAGGAAGGATAAGGTTATTGTTCAAATGAACATTTTACCGAGTCAGCTTTTTGTACATTCTGAATGATAAGTGAACTTTTTTATTTGCTTTCTTTTTTGCTAGATTTCATTTTTTAAATTAATCTTCTTTAATAAAACAAATATTTTGAGAAGAAATAAAAAAAAAAGAGGGTTTATCTCCACTATCATAAAAACAGTGTATTCCTATGAAATCATTCGTAAGTTGAAATAGCGTAAAACAGTGTTTCTCATCATATGTAGTAACGTTGCCGGTAAATTTGCAGATAATACAATATAATAATAAAAGCCTGATTATTACAAAAATAGCAGTAAAAATTGAGGAAACTCTACAGTTTATGAGATATTACCAACCTACGTTGGGTCTCGGGTACAGCCTGCCCGCCCCAGGAATCTGTGAAGGCGTTTGGTATGGTGAGGGATTGTCTTCAGGAACAGAAATCAAGCAGATGGTCAGGCTGTACCTGGGACTCAATGAAGATTGGTAATATCTCCTAAACGGTAGAGTTTCCTCAATTTTTATTGCTATTTTTGTAATAATCGTTTTTTTTACAACAGAAATAATGTTTGTTTGTTTTTTTAAATTGGTCATTGGGAATTATGAGGAGTACTATAATTTTAACAGTACAGTAACAAGATTTAACGCTTTGAATCCTGATTTGTTCAATTTGATTAACATAATTATCAACCTTTTGCAGGATTTTAAAGCCAGAAAATATTTTAGATTGTAACATTTTTTTAGATAGTAATGATTTATTGATACACGTCCTACTTATTAACCAATATATGGATGAAGAAAATGTGAATTCATACTTTTCCCAAGGGTATTTGTACATAGATGAAACCTGCAAGCCAAAGTGTAGCAGCTGATACAATCTAACACACCCTCACTGCTTCGCTATTCTGTTTAAAGCATATTTCCGGTGACTGTCGCTGTTGTAAGGCATCAAAACGTTAGAAGTGCCATCTGTGGTGTCTAGTTTTAACCTCTAACAACAACACAAAATTCATAATCCTACCCTCTCACACTATCTACAAAATTGGTAAATAAATTAGTTACCCAAAATACTAGGATATTTACCACCACGTCCAAAAATTTGGAGATATAATTAGGAAGAATAATAAATCCAACCCCACTTTAGATGCGGGTAGTTACCAAATAAAATTCTTTAACTGTAAATGCACTTACACCGACGAAACATCTCGAAATCTAAAAGCCCGTGTCTACGAGCATAAAAAGGGATTGACGTTTGAACAACACTTTAAACTCGTAATACACAGTAACAATACTGGCCATAACACTGATTTTATAAATGCCGCCCTAATTAAAAAAGAATAATTATTTACGTCAAAAGTACTCAGAGGGATTACTAATAAATATTTTATAAACTATAAACACACGTCAATAACACTATATTACATTAACAACCCTTATTAAATCCATTCTTAAAGATTTTACTTATGAATATACATTATCATCTGAATCCCGCACAGACAAACTAGAATTATTACATAATTACATACATAAAGCAATATTTGCGTATTTTTAAATTAGGCTTGGAATTTCTTAATTTCATGGAGCTTCGAAAGAAATTGTCGTCTCTCCTTGAATTCAGAACGCCATAAATTATGCTAGAATTGTTGAAGTCAAACGCATATAAAACCTGATTAACCAGTCAAACAACGCAAAAAATAACAGAATTTCTTTCGTCTTTTCTCCATAACGCTTTCTATGATGGCGCTTTAATAAAAGTAAAATATGATTGATAAAGGTTTCTTATTTATTCTTTATCCTAACATTGTCAGATTCCGATCCATATTTGATAACATTATATATATATATATATATATATATATATATATATATATATATATATATATATATATAAATTTCTATAGAATTATGTGGGTCAATTGAATAAGAGTAAAATTGTGTATAATATATATATATATATATGTTATAATTAATCACAGATACATTATAATTATATATGTTAAAATTATGCATATATATTTATTATAAGTATATATATATATATATATATATATGAATATATATACGTATATATTATAATTATGTATATATGTATATTATAATTATATATATATGTATATTATAATTTATATATATATATTATAATTTATAAATATATAAATATATATATATATTATAATTTATAAATATATATATATATTATAATTTATAAATATATATATTATAAATATATATATATATAATTTATAAATATATATATATATATATATTATAATTTAAATATATATATATGTGTGTGTGTGTGTGTGTGAAGAAATATAGTCTTAAGGTGTGCTATATTTATGGGATAAAGAGCTCAATATCAGAGATAGAGCGTGTGTAAATATAAAAGTGAACATTGAAGTCAAAACTTAAAGGCGACAGACTGTTTCATGTTAGGCGTCTAGCATGAAACAGCCTGTCGCCTCTAAGTCTTGACTTCAATATTAGTTCTTTTTTCGTAACAGATTTAATGTTTAGTATAGAGCTTAGAAAAAATTCGCAGTGTGAGAAAGGCAAGAATTAAGGCATCTAGCAACATCAGCGCGGCAAGGGCACTGCTTTAAAGGCAAGGAAGGGCAAAAATATTTTAAGTCAAGTGATAGCGATTGCTGTATGAGTCGTACAATTTTTGAATCAAGCACGGGCAAAGCCGGGCCATGCTGCTAGTATATATATATATATATATATATATATATATATAGATAGATAGATAGATAGATAGATAGATAGATAGATAGATAGATAGATAGATAGATAGATTCAATGTTGTTTATATAAGATCGTTTCGTCGTCTAGTAATAAAACTGATATGTGTGCTTATTTGTAGATTTTAGGATGGTTTTTGATTCTCTGTCGTAGTCCATTGACTGTTAGTAAAACTATAAAGAACGTTATGAAGAGGGTCAGACTCCTGGTAAGTGGTCTCCCGTCCGGTATGGGAAGACATAAATGACAGGTGTCATTAAAAAAGTAATGAACAGTTACAGAATATCAGTCCTCCTATATGTCAGTGAATTCTGGAAAATATACTCACATACGGACAATAAAAGGCAATAAAAATAGGGCTCTAGAGAATTATGTTAATAGCATGAACTGAACATATGAACAACGACGAAGTTTTCAAAAAAAGGACACAAAAACGAAACATAATACATTGTATTTTTAGTGCATATAATAAGAAAAAAGGGCTTAGAAAATTTGACACGCACAGGACATACTGAAAGCAAGAATAAAACAGCACATAACCTACCTAAGGAGTTTTTGTAAATGGATGGTAAAAGAGGGTTCAGACGCGATAGACAGATAAAAGACAGAATTTACTAAGAGCTGCAACGGATAGTAAATTGCGGAGAGCCGTGATCGCCAACGTCATGAAGGGACATGTCACAAGTTCATAGAAATGTATTCTCGAGCAGTTTGTAACACATCTATTTATCATCCCTCAGATGCGTCTCTGTCTTTGGACAGAGTGGGCTCATGGGTGGCACCTTCAAAGGACAGAGTCGCAACTAAGGAAAATTATACAGAGAGGTGCCCAGCGCGAGGAACAGCTGACCGAGGCCGGGTCCTATTTGCACCAGAGAGAGAGAGATCGGTGCTCGCACCGAGGCCAGCGCAACCGACGGTTTCGTGGGCTGCGGGGAATTTTTGTTCCTAGCCCGGGTGTATGTGCTCGGGTCACCACCTTAAAAACTGACATTGTGTCACAACTCGTCTTAGTGGGGAGACAGAGTAAATACCTAAATACCTACTGAAGAAATATGGAGTACCAATTCAAATAGTTTCGGCTGTTAATATTCTAACATATATTGTGATACAGGTATTATCACCAGATGAAAAAACACTTTTTTTTAAAAATAATTTCACCCCAAGCAAAGCAATAAAGCCACTAGGATGTACGAGGTTACTGAGTATTAAAGAATATGAGGAAAATTACTTTTAAGAGGAGAGGACAATAAAAGAATAAGAATTAAGAAAATCGAAGATAACGATTGATCATCTGGGTTCGTGCAGGGAGACACACAGTCCTATTTTTATTTATCAATGCCCTTAACTAAGCAATGAGATTTGAAACTGTTCGGGTTTACCTAAAAAGAAGCAAAGGATAATCACTACACTGGAATCATCATTAGAGATGTTGCAGAAGATCTCGCTCTTGTATCCAACACCCTTAAACAAGCACAATATTTTAGTTAAGTTAGACTCTATATAAATTAAATCAAAATATCAGGTCATCCCATAAGTTTTATCCGAATTTTAACTTTTTGTTAAAATGAACGAAATTTAAAGAGTATTTTATAATGTCTAATGAAGCTGAACATTATTTTTATGTTTAGATGCATTTAAACTGATGAAATTTTATTTCAGAGAACAATAAAATTTAATTTTGTTTGATTAAAATCCTGCTAACATGGAAGTACCCAAGAATCATTTGAGACACA